GATTGTTGAAAAGTTATGATAATTTATGTATCACTACAATCAGGTTGATGTATTAATAAAAAACTATTTTTGATATATTTCGTAAATTCCAATGTTAATTATATTTATTAATTAAGTTTTTCTTCTAATGTCACAGGAAGTGTAAACGTATTACACAACATTTTTGTTTTACGACAAAGTCCTCCTCCCAACCGGTAGTAATAAATAATCGCCTCAAATTAGAGAAGCACGCCCAAACGCGCCAACATAACAACCATAAATATTTATGGCTAGCGCTGCGCGGTCGAAATTTTAAAGGAGGAAAAAGATATTGATGCGTCGTGGGGGCAACGAACGAATTGAAGAGAACGGGAACGAGCAACTCGGGTTATGGTACTTCTCATGATAAGTCGTTGGTAGTACAACAGACGAGACGTGAGTCAGACGGACGTGGATTTGTCCCACTGACCCTGCTGCAACTTCTTCGTTTATATCGCCATCCTTTTCTTATTAATGGCCTGTTTTCGCGGTCGATTTGGTTACCCCGTTCGATTCCGTTCGTAATCAGATCGGAGAAACTACCTGTTGAAGCAAACCTTAAATGGGAAGTTCAAACGATCGCCGACATAATGAAAGCAAACGATTTAAATGTCTCTTGTTTATAGGTTATTTTTAAAAGAAACAGAAAGTACAAAATTATTATTTATTTAGTGTAACTTAATAGTACAGGCGTTGGGTAGTTTTGCAAAGGAAAAGTTTTGCTTGGAAAAGGATAACTCTGAGTTTCTGTCATAAAAGACGCACGGCTAAACCCGAATTTTTCTAGTTCTAGGTCTAGTGTTAGTTCTAGTTTTATGTGAAACTAACACTATACTTACAACTAGAATCATTTGGGTTTAGCCACACGTCTCTAAAGACGGCTAAAACCAAATGTTTCTAGTTCTAGATCTAGTGTTAGTTCTAGTTTTACACTAGCACTGTTACTATGTAAAATTAACACTATACCTAGAACTAGAATCATTTTGGTTTAGCCGCACGTCTCTAAAGACGGCTAAACCTGAATGATTCTAGTTCCAGGTATAGTGTTAGTTCTAGTTGTACACTTGCACTGTCACTAGAACTAACATTAGACCTAGAACTAGAAACATTTGGGTTTAGCCGTAAGTCTCTTAAAACGGCTAAACCCGAATGATTCTAGTTCTTGGTCTAGCGGTGAATAACAAGTAAAACTAGAACTAACATCAGACCTAGAACTAGAAAGTTTCGGGTTTAGCCGTGCGTCTTCAGACTGTGCGACTTCAGTTCTAGTTTTACACTAGCACTATTATTATGTAGAACTAACACTATACCTAGAACTAGAATCATTTGAGTTTAGCCGCACGTCTCTAAAGACGGCTAAACTAGTGATTGCAATACCGGTATACCGGTATATATTCAAATTTATTATTTATCCATAATGAATAATAATGATTTCTAAGAACATAAAAAATCTGCTGATAATAACTCGGTTTGGTTATACTATTTGTATGATGAAAAAAATATGCTGACAAGGTGCAAAACATGTTCAAGGATTATTAAAAATTTTGGGGGAAGTACAAGCGGACTACAGACACATTTAAAAACACAACATGACGTTAATTTATTGAAAGGAAAAGAATGTGATACAAATTGTATGAGTACAAATTTTAACTCACCAAAAAATAACACTACTAAACCTAATACATCACAAATTACAGATTTTTTTAATAGAGAAATGACTTTTTTGATGAAGTATTATCTAGCTAGAATGACAGCATTAGATGGTTTGACGTTCAGAGTGTTCTGTACTTCAATTAAATTGAGAAAGTCATTAATTGCTAGAGGTTTCAAAAATATACCAAAATCTGTAAATACTACTATAAGAAGAACTGTTACAAACTACAGAAACAACTGTGTTTGTGTACCTTTTTGAAAAATTGCTAATACCGGTATTAATACCGGTATTCCGGTATTATTATTCAAAAAATACCGAACTACCGGTATTGTATTTTTGGTCCGGTATTGCAATCACTAAGCTAAACCCGAATGATACTAGTTCTTAGTCTGGCGCTGCATAAAAAATTTAGCCGTGCGTCTGAAAAGTTTCTAGTTCTAGGTCTAGTGTTAGTTCTAGTTTTAGTTCAATAAAAATATTCAACATAGTGAAGATCTGTTGGTTTATTCCTGGCGGTGCTTTGGTCTTCAAGTCTTTTTCCCACAACAGAATTGATGTTGTACTTGTTTCTAGCCACTTCCTGGGTAAGATTTAATATATAGAGGGTAATAGAGGGTGTCAGGATCTAATGCGATTCATATCAAAATAAGGTTGTCAGTTATTTTATTGAAGTCTTGCAATGTTATTTTCTTGAGCAATCTTGGAGATCAATCCTTGAGTTTCCTTTATGTCATTTTATTATTTTGTTTTTTTTTAGGTTAGTCTCCATTTATAAAAGTATTCCCTCACAGTTCTCAGGTCATTAGAGAGGATGTCTTCACTGGTCTCAATCTTATTATGTTGGGTGATGCATGCTACATCATCGGCAGAGATAAATTTTCTTGTTCTTGTAGTTGGTAAATCCGATGTGTGTTAACCATGTGTAACGCAGCAAAATTTGCTGCGCTGGCACACTGATACTAACGCACCTAAGTGAGTTAGCGTAATGTATCAACTCAATTGCGCCATAACACAGTTGCTGGATGCATCACATCTATCTCTCGCCGGTCAACTGCGTCGGCGCCGCCTGCTGTCTCATTCCAAGTTCTAGCAAATAAAGGTTTTATACGTGATTAAGGGCTGGAATTTTCACCTACATACATATTTGTAAATCTTCAAGCCACACCGGCGTGCTCTACTACGCCAACGGTGGCGCAATTGAGTTGACTCATTTTAAAGTTGGGTATCAGCGCACGTAACACACTGTACTGAGTTAACTCAGTTGCGCCGTGCAGCGCAGTGTTACACATCTCTAATGTGTATAGGTTAAAAATGATGGACGCAAGAACTAAGCCCTGCGAGAGTCCCTTATTCAGTTTCTTCTGATTGCCCATTTTGTTTCCTAACGTTACGCAGGAGTATCTGAAGACAGCATGTTGCCGACAAGTTTTACACAATTCATGGCACAATTCTTTTTCCACACTGTATAACACTGTATAAAAAAAGACCAATCCTGTTTAGGATAAGCCTTGCAAGAAGGTTATATCAGCAACTCAATAATGCGATAGAACGATAACTTTTGACCTGCTCCAAAGGTTTATTCGATTTTAAGATGGCCTCTACTGAAGATTTTGTCAGTAGTATGTGAGTATAGAACACAGCCAAAGGCATCGCTGTCCAAAATTACCATGAAATTTTGGTGCATCTCATCAAAACCTGGGGCTTTACCTCATTTAATATCTTTTAGGGTCTCTCTGAGCATATTTGTTATAAATTCTTTTGAAAATTGGGAGCGAGAAGCTCTGGTTGTAGTATTATCTACTTGCGATTTAGTTTGGACTCACCAGCTTCTTCCGAAGACTACAAGCTTCTCTGCTTGAATTTTTAAATTCCAGTGATTGGGTAATTTCCATCCATTTTTCTCGACGTTATTTGTCAAGATTTTGAAGTACCTCATCGGATATTGTTGAGTCTCCAGCATCCATGTAGCCTTGATATAGTTGTACACGTTCATTATTCCATCCAGGAATATATTCCTTCCGGTGTCATCTAGGAATTGTCTTCTTGGCTGATCTCGCTCACAGACGAGATCCACCTTATTATCTTGTCAAGCTCCTCAGAGTAATTCCACCAATTCGCTTTCCTGAAGTTTTAACTCATGGGTTGGGCCGTATTATTAGTATTTGGATTCCGATCTCGAGTAGCACTGGACGGTATTGGCTATGCGGAAAATCCTTCAGAATTCGTCTCCTTATTTGTGAGGACTGGTTATTTAGATTTTGAGTTACAAATTATTCTCTGCCGCTGATTTGATTGTTCCCGTGCCCTTTACCTCAAATATAAAGTTTAAATTATTTTGTTCGGTCCAATTTGTAAGAGACGAGACTCTTATCGTTTTGTTTATGCTTCCAAAGAGAGTGGTCGAGGGAGTGGAAGCTGTAAAACTCTAAGTGGCCATTCTGTTATGGATGGCTTGTACACTGAGAGAAAAATATTCTTGAACGAAGATTATTATTACACTTGGTTCAAGCTTATCATATTTTTGTATATCATAAGAAAATCATTTTATTGAGTGACGAAAAACCACATATTCTTAAAGCAAGTATACAAATATTCTTGACTCTAAAGAAATTCTTAGTTAAAGTATATCAATAATCTTCAAACAAGAGTATCTTAGTGTTGCGTCAACGATCATATTTTCGCATCGAGAATAGATTTCTTAAGTCAAGAATAACATATCTTTCTATTTAGAAAAACTTATTCATATAACAACAGTCTTGTATAATTCATCATGAGTATTATAAGTTATGGACACAAGAATGATGATATATAAGAATATGATATACTTTCGATAATACTTCTATTCTTAAAACAAAAAAATATTTTTAATTTTAAGAATAATTTATACTTGTTTCAAAGAATTATATTCAAAAATAAAGTTTTCTTGAAAGTCAAGATTAATTTCCCTCAGTGTATACATTGTATACTCTTATGTCCTCCACCATGATTGTGACAGTGTGTATATTATGCTTTATGGTAGTCGATATTAATTGGACATTCTCCAAGTTATTAACAGCAACTAATAAATTTTTTCATCACCTTAAATTTTATTTAACAACTTTAACACATTATATTTGCCCAACTATTACTAAATATAGATATAGTATATTTAATCGTTTTAAAAACGAATAAGTGTGTATACATTTTTATTGAAACCGTGTAGGAAATAGATTAGTGACACGATACGTTACGCACGGTGGTTCTTCCGCTATACTTACCCATCTATCATCATCCGGAAGCCACAAAGCAACTATAATCCCGCTCTAAACGAATCCTTTCTTCATTTCAGATTAATTCTTAATGAAACGTCGCCGTCGATGAATTAGTCCACGATGAGTCGCTACTCGCACAGCCACCACAATAACCACCACAGCCAAAGCACAGTCCACAGGGGTAGGCCGGTATCTCAACATGAAGAAGCGCTCGCCAACAACAGTTTCGAACACTTCCTCGCCGCGTCTACACTCAAAACGATTTTTGGCACGTACAGAAGCATCTGTGAACATTTGCATCTCAAACCGAACTGTATACCGTACTTTTATCCGAAATTAAAAGCTCACGTGAATTCGTGGAAAGCGAAACCGTTGTGGAAAAAATTCGACGCTAGGGTTAATCAAAAATGTTATAATCGAGGGAAATCTTGTCCCAATACGAGGGTTTTAATTATTGGGGCTGGTCCGTGTGGTCTAAGATCTGCTATAGAAGCTCAACTTCTTGGAGCCAAAGTGGTGAGTAAAAATTTGATTTGAATGCGTAGAATATGCTTATTTAATTATTTACTAACAAATATCTTTAGGTTGTTGTAGAAAAGCGAGATCGTATGACAAGAAACAACGTACTTCATTTGTGGCCTTTTGTAATTGAAGATTTGAGAGCTTTAGGCGCAAAAAAGTTTTTTGGAAAATTTTGCGCCGGTGCAATTGACCACATAAGTATCAGACAGTTACAATGTATCCTTCTTAAAGTAGCTCTTCTCCTTGGAGTTGAAATTCACACAGAAGTGAGTTTTGAAAGACTGATTGAACCAAATCCAGGGGAAAGTAAGATGTTTTATTTTACCTTATTATTAACAAATATTTATTTTAAAAATTTAATTTTTATTTTCAGAAACAGGATGGCGCGCTGAATTCAAACCGACTAATCACCCAGTTAATCAGTTTGAGTTCGACGTTATCATAGGAGCCGATGGCAAAAGAAACACCCTTCAAGGTTTCAAACGTAAAGAGTTTCGCGGAAAACTCGCAATTGCAATCACGGCCAATTTCATTAATAAACGAACGGAAGCTGAAGCCAGAGTTGAAGAAATCAGCGGTGTCGCATTCATTTTTAACCAAAAATTCTTTAAAGATCTCTACGTTGACACGGGTATAGATTTAGAGAATATTGTTTATTATAAAGATGACACTCATTACTTTGTTATGACCGCGAAAAAACAAAGTTTAATCGATAAGGGTGTTATTCGACAAGACTTATCCGATACAGCTAAATTGTTAGCCCCCGAAAATGTAGATAGAGACGAACTGATGAATTATGCAAGGGAAGCTGCCGAATTCAGCACAAACTATCAAATGCCCGATCTCGAATTCGCCGTAAATCATTACGGACAACCCGACGTCGCTATGTTCGATTTTACTTCAATGTACGCCGCGGAAAATGCTTCCAGAATAACCGAACTACACGGTTATAGATTGTTGGCTATTTTAGTCGGTGACAGTCTACTCGAGGTACGCTAATTCAATAAAATAAACTTCCTTTTACTTAACTCTTTATCTTGTGTATTTATAAATTTTTTTTTTAAATAAGCCGTTTTGGCCAACCGGATCAGGATGCGCACGAGGATTTTTATCATCAATGGACGCCGCTTGGGCTATTAGAAGTTGGGAAACCGCAACCCCGCTTCAAGTCATCGCCGAACGTGAATCAATTTATCGATTACTTGCTCAAACCACACCAGAAAACCTCAATAAAGATTATAAATCGTACACTTTGGATCCGACGACACGATACCCTAATCTTAATAAAAACGTTCTGTTACCACACCAAGTCACGAATCTGTTTGATACTGATAATCCTAAAAGTATTGAAATTCGTGCTTTACCTTTGGGAATAGTACATGGAGAATTACCTAAGAAGCGTAGAAGAAGAGGTAAGTTTAAATACGTCTCTTTATTATTTTTTTTATTACAGTGATTAAATTCCATGAAACGTAGAATCCAATCTTTGCAAGATATAAAGATTTCTCCTTTTACTATTTTTATTGCTTCCTTACGAAATAAATCGTAACTTATATATAGCTCCTCCTTTCGTTTGTCTTGAAAGAATGGGAAATCTCATCTATTTCAGGAAATTACTCTTTTCTTGGTCTCATAAATTTTTTTGCGACGCTTCACAGTCTGCAATAGACACCTGTCTTTTTCTGTCATTCCATAATTATGTTGTGATATTTATATTAAATTGAATTCGTATTTCTACGTTCTTTTAAAATAAAATAAAAAACTTTCGCAATGATTTGAGAGTATACTTCGGTTATTTTAAAAATTTATTTCTTGTAAATGGCGTCCACGCATTGATGCGTGTTATTTCCGGTGGAAAAACAATCGGAATATTTTTTGAGTGATTGCGTTCTTAACTGCTTACAGATTTAACAATCTGATAAATCAGATGATGTTGGGAGTAGATAATATGTTTTCGCAAAGAGAGAAATCTTGCAGCAAAAAACTCTCTCAAAATCTTATAACTTGAAACCCAATAATGAGAAGATTCAAAACAGAATTTTATGAATAACGACAACCTGAGGTTGAGGAATTTATGGAAAAAATTAAATTAATACTTACAGTATTGGAAAAAAATAGAGCAACTTTTAATTTTTGTAAAGTAAATTTTAAATTAACTCTTTGTTCCCGACGGTACTTTAAAGTAACGGTAGTTGTAGACATAGACCTGTCGGTACTTTCTACTATACAAGAAAAAAATCTGTATAAAACATGACGCAATCCGCACTGTAGGGTTTTTAGGTATATTTAAACTTATTCGTCCAGATGTGAACAGAGATTATTACAGATCATTTTAAAAAGAAAGCATTGAGCTTTAATTTAAAATAAGTCTCATTCCTTAATTTCAATAAATACGGCTTCCAGGAATTTTTAAATTAGCATCTTTTTTGATACTTTGAAAATGTAAGTTTTGTTTCAACATTTTTTTTCTCAATATTTTTCCAATCCAACCCAACAATTATTATAGATCATTTTAAAGAGAAAGCTTTGAGCTTTAATTTAGAATAAGTCTCATTCCTTCATTTCAATAAATACGGCTTCCAGGAATTTTTAAATTAGCATCTTTTTGACACTTTTAGGTTATACGTACATATAAGTTTTATGTCAACATTTTTTTTCTCAATATTTTTCCAATCCAACCCAACAATTATTATACATCATTGCAAAGACAAAGCTTTGAGCTTTAATTTAGAATAAGTCTCATTCCTTAATTTCAACAAATACGGCTTCCAGGAATTTTTAAATTTGCATCTTTTTTGACACTTTTAGGTTATATGAAAAAAGGTTTTATGTCAACATTTTTTTCCTCAACATTTTTCTAATTCAACCCAACAATTATTATACATCATTTTAAAGAGAAAGCTTTAATTTAGAATAAGTCTCATTCCTTAATTTCAATAAATATGGAATTCCAGGAATTTTTGAATTTGCATCTTTTTTGACACTTAGATTATGCGAAAATGTTAGTTTTTGATCAATATGTTTTTTCTCAATATTATCAGATTTTCGTCGTTCTGTAAATACAGATCTAATGAATAAATATTTAAATTTACTGCATCCACGAAAATGTAGCGCAAGTTCAAAAAAGAAAGAGGAAGTTGTGAAAATTGTTCTGTCAAAGCTAGACCCCACCCAAAATGTACTGCATGCAATGTTTATTTATATTGTAATGAAAGAAAGAACTGTTTTTTCTGAATGTCATAATGTGATTTAGATAAAGCAAGTGTTACTTATTTTCTAACGTAATAACAAATGTATTATTTTTATATTAGCATTAATAGTTTTTGTATACTGAAAATATATTTTAATGCTCGACAGTACTCTCAAGTACCATTATCTCCCTGGAATGGGGGGATTGCATATTTTGCTAAAATTGATTCCAACTGAGTGTATTTTGATTGCGTTTTAATTCTGTCACAAAGCTTCAACATTTTTGACTTCTTGGGACATAAAGAGTTAATGCTTTTCCTTAGGGTTTACATTCAGAAAGACAGACTTCGAACCAGTTTCTGAAGAAGGTTGCAACATGGCATCCGAAACGTCAAACCTTTTCTTAAAAAACTCATGGCAAAACCCGAAAGTTTCTAGTGTTAGTTCTAGTTTTAGTTCTAATTTTAGTTCAAATTGTTAAGTTGTCCTACTTTTTTCCAACTCAACTTTTGCAATTCTGTTTAATTTCTATAAAAATAAAGCTATGTTTGTCAAATTTTGGCTACACAATTACTACATAATACACATTGCCATAGTAATATAAAACTTGACGAAAAACAAATTTAAAATTTAATATAAAAGAATTAAACGTTGCTCTACTTTTTTCCAATACTGTATGTACGTATATTGATTTACTGTAATCGCCGGTTGTTGATATAAGATAAGTTTGTACTAAGTGTTGTTGACATAAGATTTATATTGGCTTATGAATAGAATCTTTCTTTCAATAGTCAAAAGAATTCAGTGCTTCTTGATCATCATCATGAACTTCTGTTTCATATTTTGCTTTTGTCTTCTTCCATCTAGTCCATATATCTAGTCTTAAGCCGTCCTCTAAGCTTTTTCCGACCGCCACTTGTTTAATTTTAATTCTTTTTGGGGGTTTCTTCATTCCTCATACTCTCCACATGGCATTAATTTGACAATATCTGGATTATAAATAATAAGTTATAGCGTCGTTGGCGATTTTTGTTCTTTGTTGTCTGATGAGTTCGAACAAACCTTAATAAAGCCATAATAAACATCTTTCTAGTATTTGGCTTTGCTCCGTCAGAATTTCTCCCTATTTGGCCTGCACATTATTGTTACTGGTTTACATCCTTTCCTCTTTTGATTCTGGTAGAATTTCAGTTCACCGTTTATGACCTCTCTCTTTTTCTGTTTATGTATTTCTATTTTATTTCCTCTTTCCTACTGCGTGCTTCTGTTGCTTCTCCTTTTTGATAGCTTCTATGCTGTTGCAGTTTTTTGTAAGCTTTATACTTTATTTCTATTATTACTTCGTTACACTCTTTGTCGAAGTAGTCCAGTAAACTGTCCAAATTTTGTGATGAGTGGGATGGAGGAGCGTTTTGGGAATTGGATGGCAGCGGTAAGGTTAAGGATTTCTTTTTCGATGTGAGGGATAGACTCTATGGCGGGAGTAATTTGATGGAGTTATTAATGGCTTGATGGAAAAGCCGCCAGGTTGGGTTGTGTTTTGTTGTGGGGTAGGCAACCAATTTTTGGCAGGATGGGACGTCCGTCGAATCAGAGTTCATCTAGATTCTAGGGCAACGAGCTCAGGTAGAAGATCACACCAATTCGGAGAGTATTAATGTCCATGTTTGGCTTAATTTTTCTACCCCGCGTTATTTTCACGTTTTTTAAGAAATCACCATGAGTTCAATTTTCCCTCATTTATGAATATTCGAAGAACATTTCCGAGACTTAACCACGGAACATTGTTGTACAGGGTGGGCAAATTTGGCTGTTATTATAGGCTATCTCAGAAACTATAAGAGATACGAAAAAAGTAGGTGCCATGTCCCGATCTCTTTTTTCGAGACTAACCCAATTCCGCAAACACCAAACCTCTATCTTCTTTTGTTTTTAAGTTATAGCCAAAAAGTCAAATTTTCGTGATTTCAAAAAATGCTCATATTTCGTTTATTTTTGAAATTAGAGAAATGAGGTTGAT